ACCATTTTTTACTCCTGAACCTGTTCCTTTGGCTGTCATTCCTGTTCCTATTCCTATAAAAGATAGGGCTAATCCTGCATAAATGATAAATTTTTTGATGATGTTCATGATATTAACATTTTTAATTTTTTAATACTACTTCACCCCTTTTTTTACAATTGTAAATAGGGTTGTAATTATTCTTTTTTCTCTACATTACAATTTTAATTGTCTGGGGAGTTGGATTTGTTTGTTTTTATAAGTTTAAGTTGCAGTTTATGTTATAACTTATATTAAAACTCTAAAATAACATATATAATATATAGATTGAATTTCCTTTATTTCTTATTTACCATATGCTTGCATTACTTTAGTAATAGCATATATAGGTATAAGTTAATAAGGAAATTTTATAGTCCAAAAATATGACAAATAAAAAAACAATTCAATACGATGCTCTAAGTGTTGCTAAATATTTGCTTTCATTAGACCCCAATAGGGAATATTTTGGCAATAAAAAAATGCCTAACCGCTCCATTATTAAGGGTAATTTTCGGTTAAATCAAATGCTTTACTTGCTCCAAATATTTTATCACCTGAAACAAAAAAAAACACTGTTTAGCGATAATTTATATGCTTGGGAAAATGGAGTGATAGTTTATAGTGTTTATACTCGTTTTTGAGAATTATATCTGCAAAAAAATGGTCAAGACACAAATGCTATTGCCAAGGAGGACCAAAAAACCATTGCCACCTGCTTTCGTTATCTCAAAGATATTCCTGATCGAGTTTTACAAGAGTTTGCTTATCATGATCCGGCTTGGTCTTCCACTTGAGCTAAAAGTCCGCAACCCGAAATTAATTTTAGTGGTCGGAAAAATTTGGAGACCTACCGCCAATTTTGCTCGCGTTGACTACCCGAGGCAACCCGATTATAAGTAAATGGAACAGATTCTAGCACCAGGTCAGATTTTTTGGTTAGTTATTCCGCTTTTTAGTGAGAAAAAATGAACCTATGAAAGACCTTTTTTAGTTTATGGGACAGAGGATGGAGATTATATCTTTCTGAAAATTTCTAGCCGTCCCAAAGAATATTTAGAGCAGTTTGAATTTTCTCCTGATAACAAACCTAGTAGTCTTTATAAAGACAAAAATTTTGTTGAAACTAATATTTTGATTTATATTGAGCAGGACTTATTTCCTGATCTACTTAACAAGACCACTCGACTAGTTGAGCAAGGTCAATTAATTCTGCCCGAAGCTTTTCAGGAGATAAAGAAAAAAGTTAAAGAATGTTTTCGCGACAATAAGTTTCGGGGTAATCGCTATCAAGTGCGAGTGAAATAGGAGCAAATTAATTAACTCTCACCGAAACCTTCTGCTGACAACACCCCGACTTCACTTTTTCTTTCTTCTCTTTTTTCTCTCAAACCCACCTAATAAACCAAACATGGAATATAAGAAAAAAGAACAACATAATCACAATAATTCCTAACAATCAAACAATTTTCTGCTCCAAATATCCTTTGGCCTTTTCTTTTTCCGGACAAACTGAACAAGGTCCGCATAATTTCTCAATAACCTTCTGCTGCATCTGCTGATGACTTTGTCAAGCACTAGATAATTGTTGATTAATTTTACTAAAATGCTTTTGTCCGCTAGTGGTTAGAGAGATTATTTGTTGCGACTTTTGCTCTTGAGATAAATTAGAATTAGCCAATTCTGTTATTTTGTTATCTAATTCTTTTTGTAAATTATCTTTTTGTTGCTGGCAAGTTAATAATTTTTCTTCAACTACTTGGAGTTCTTTTTGTTTAGTTGATAATTCACTTTCTTTATTCTGTAAACTTTCAGTAAAAATTTGATTTATCTCGGCAATGTAGCCTTGCAAAACCTCTATTTTTTGGCACAATTCCTCCTCCGGTGTAGTCATTTTAGGTAATTTGAGATTAATTTTTGGGTTTGAACACCTGTATTTGGGCTACTGTTTCAGCTATTTCAGATATTTCATCAAGTTCTCTCATAGCTTCCTGAACCATCTTCATCCCTTCTTCCCAGCCCCTCACTTCTTTCTTCAATTCCTCATTCCCCTTTTTTAACTCTTCATTCTCTTTTTCTAACAAGCGAACTCAGTTAAGCAAATTAGCATTTTCCTCCTCCAATCTTTCATTTCTGTCCTGTAAGTTTTGTAATTCTTGTTCCATGCTGTTATCTTTTATTGAAATTTACCGCTGTTTTTCTCAAATCTAAAACTTGGGTCATCAATTCATCCATATTGGTTTTGGCTTTTTCCAAAGTGGCTGACTTCTGGGTTTTTTCATTTTTTAAATTATCCCTTTCGGTTTTTACTTGGTCTAATTCAGTTTGGGTCTGCTGATGATTAGTCTTTTCTATTTGCAATTCACTAAGGGCATCATCTCTTTCAGTAGTCAATGCATCCCGTTCTTTAGTTAAATCCAAAACTTCTTGCTGGGTCTGCTGCAATTGGACTCTTATTTCGTTGATGAAGGCTGTTGCCTCTAATATTTGTTTAATTAATTCTTCTTCCATTGTCATATTATTTCTTGTAATTATTTATTTCTATATTAGTAAAGAGTTTTTTGGCTTCCGATAATTCTTTTACGGCCTCACTAATTCTTTTCATTTTGTCAGCCTCTTTATTTGCTTGTTGCTTTTGTTTTTCTTCTAATTCAGCAATTTTAGTTTTTAACTTATTCACTCCCCCAAAAATATTAGTTTTTAAAAAAGATAAAAGTTTAGTATCAGGTTCCTCGGCCTCGTCCAATTTACCCTTTTGAGTTTCTGAAAGAGGGAAGATTTCGGCTAAACTTTTGATGAAGTTATAATAGTTGGCTTGTTTTAATTCTGATGATTGTAATTGATAATCTTTTTGTCGTAATTGTTCTTGCAAGTTATCATTTTCCCTTTGGTATTCTAGATTATTTTGATTAAGAATTAAGAGGGACCGTTCCATGTCCTGCACCCGTTTAGTTTGGTCTTGTTCAGTTGCTAATTGCTCCTGTAAGAGAATATTCTTCTGAGCCAGTTCTTGGACCATAGTTTCTTGCTGTTGAATTCGCTACTGATAGGCTTCTTGTTGTTGAGTTAAGTTTAGAATACGGTCTTCTAATTCTTTAACTGCCTCGGGGGAAATCTCTATTGCTTGATTAATTTCACCCATCAAATTATTAAGAGTAGTATCCAAATTTTTTTCACTCTCATTTAAAATGGCATCGTTTAATTCTTCTTGTAAAGATTTAGCCGTTTTAGGAGTTTTTAATGCTATTTCAAAATCCAAAGTAGGGCTTTGTGGAAACGAAGTCATTGAGGAGGCTCGGTTATGGTCTGAATAAATACTGCTATAACGAGATAACATTCCATAATCCAAGGTCTTTCTTTTATATTTTTTGCTTCCTTCATCTTCCCTTTCCAAAGAATTAAACAAACGATAATTTTGGATTTCTTTTTTGTGCTTGGTTTTTAACTCCCGTAATTGCTTTTTGTATTCTTCGGCTTGTTCCAAGAGCGATTGTTCCAATTCAGCCCTTTCAATTTCATCTATTTTTTTATCATTCTTTAAACGAGATAACTGGTTAATTAATTCTTGTTGTTTATGAGTAATTTCTTTATTTTCCTTTCATTGACTTTCTAATTCGGCTACTAGGGATTTGTTGTTTTCTACTTCTTTGTTTAGTCTTTCTGTCAAATGTCGAAATTGTTCATCCTTAACCAAATAGTCTGAACTAGTAAGTTTTAATTCTAAATGAACTTGTTCGTTTTCTTTTTGTAATGTTTTATTGACTTGAATCGATTGGTGAAGTTTTTGGGTGATTGCTTGTAATTTGTTATCTTTAATTTCTCCTTCGGTTTGGAGAGTGGCTAAGTTTGCTTCTAAACGATGGATTTCATTGTGTAAATCAGAGATTTCTTTTTTGATTTCTATTCTTTCTTTTTCATAAGCATTTATGATAGTGGTGTAAAATACTTCTTCGGCTTCACTATCTCTATCACTTTCATAATAACTTGCTTCTTCACTTATTTCACTAATAGGTGAAGTTGGCGAATAAGATGATTGGTAAGAATTATTGAGGGGAGTGTTAGGAACGGATTTAGAGAGGCGAAAAGGGGGAAGAGGGCGACTTTGGAGAGGTGATAAAGTGGTAGTTTCAACTACTCTAACATCACCCAAAGATAAAGGGGTGGGAGTATAACTTTTACTTCTTTTTCGGGAATTTAATTCTTTTTTTTTCATATTTAAGCGATTTGTTTTGGAGTTTTAGGGGTTTTTGGTGGTAGTTGTTGGTTGTTGAAGCCCCGAGCATAGCAGAGGCAAAAAACAAAACAAGGTAAAAATAAAAAGGCTAGGGCTACTAGGGGAAAAATAAGAGGGGAGATAGCGAACATTTTGTCTTCCAGTTGATTAATGATGTCGGTTGGTTGGGGAGTTGTTGTTGATTGAAGGTTTTCCATATGAGTATTTTACCAAATATTTTTTTGCTAATTGTTTTTTTTATAATTGTAAGTAGAATTGTAATTACAATTTACTTTTTTGATTTTTTTAAAAGCAATGAACCGTTATTGACATAAGCAAACAAAATTTTTCTCTTTTTTGCATTTGGAACATTTTCTCAAAAAAAATATTTATCCTCTTCATACATTTTTAGTAAGCAAGTATTACAAATATATTTTTCATTATCCTCGTCTTTTTCTGTCCAATAGCCCCAAATATTTCTTTTAACATATCCGCCATAACCACGATTATATTTAATTTCAAAAGATTTTTGGCAGGGATATTCTCCTAAAAAGGAGCGATTTTGATAAGAACATTCAACTGGCAGAGGTTTTAAAACTGGTTTTTTTATCTTTATTTCGTGGTTCATTCCTAATCATTTTTTAGATATTATTCCTCTTTTTTTGGTTTAACTTTTTCAGTAATCTCGTCAATTTTATCACTGGCAGACTTAGTAAATTGATTAAATTTATCTCCTACCTTTTTTACTTGGTCAACCTTATTTTGAAGTAAATTCTCGCCTTTCTTTTTTCAACTATTCACTAAATCTAACTTTTTTCCGAGGTAATTTTGCTCACCAGGAATTTTTAATGACACTTCTGATTCAGGCTCACCCCTTTTTTCACCTAAACCACTCTCCAACTTAAATCTTTCAGTGTCATAAGCAATTTCTTTGAGAATGGTTTGCCTGTCTATTTCTAAAATTTTTAATTCGGTTTGGTGTCTCAAGGCCCGTTGAGCATTTTCAGTTTCTTGTTTTAATGCCAGTCGAGCATTTTCCGTTTCCTGTCGCAGTTTAGTTTTGGCAATTTGCCCGTCTTTACGGATTAGCCTGGTTTTAGGACTAGTTCTTGGTTTAGAGCGATTAGTTCACCAAATAATTAGGGGCATAGCCGCAGTGGCTAGAATCTGAACTGCTGGTAAAATTATTTGATTTCAGTTATTTTCAGTCATAATTTTTTATTTTTTTTAAATATATAAAATATTTAGTTCCTATAAAGTATTAAAAGTACTTTCTTCTCTTTTAATTATTATCGATCATATGTTAAGTAAGTTTCGTACGCTCGGGTAAGTGATATATACTGCTAAATTACTCTCCTTTGCTTTCCGATTCTTTTGGAGTTTCTGCCTTTTCTTCGGTTTTTAGTTCTTCCCAATGCTCATCGCAGTAATATTTCTTACTGTCTTGGTCTTGATGTTCCGCTTCTTTATCACATTCAGATTCAGAACATTTATGTTCTTCTTTTTCTTGTTTTTTGGCTTCTTTATTTTCGGTGATTTTAACTTCTTCTGTCATATCAAATACATTTTACTAATGTTTTACAAAATCCAATTCTGATAAAGAGATTCTTGACACTTTCTGCATTTATAAAAGCAGTCAGGGCAGAGGTATATTTGGTCATGATTTTCTTTAAGGCAATGTAAACTAATATAATATTCCAGACTATCTTTTTGTTTTCGACACTTATTACATATGATTTCTTTCTCTATCACCTCTTGGTATTTTGTTTTTCCCTCTAATTGCCAGTATTTTCCCGTCTTTTCCAAGTCGAATTCATATGTTATTCCGTAACTTCCCTTAAATTCTCCCCACTTACTGATATTTCATCACATACTTTCTCCTTTTTCGGTTATTATTCGACAACTTTTCAGAGTTTTTTGACCATATTGTTTTTCATATGGTCTAATTTCTTTAATTCTGTCTATTAGTTTGGTCTTTTCTACTACTTTTTTCTCGCTACTTTTGATGTTTTCTTTTTGTTCCGGCTCCATCATTATTCATATATACTCATTTTCCCCTGCTGTCTTTTTCTACTCTGTCTTTTTCGCTAATAGTAAAAGTTAGAGCATCTTGTAATTTTTTTTCTTGCATGTAGTAGGTAATGTTGCCTCCTTCTACCCTCTTATAAAATAATCTGATGCACTCGTAAACTTCGGGAGTTCCTTTTTTTCTTTTCCACTTCCCAAATTGTATTCAATGGTTTTTGTTGGTTAAAGGTTCTAAACTAAAACCGGCATTATTTCATTTGTCTCGCCAATCAGTGCTTTTTTGTTCTGTTTTCCCGTTAGGATGTTTAATAGTTAGGGTTTCTTCTTGCGAATTAAAAATAAAAGTTGGTAAAGAATTCATAAATTATTATTTTTATTCTAGTCTTGATCTTTATTTCTTGTCCAAACTATTGTTGCGGCAAAAATTACAACTAACACAAACAAAAAGACTCAAAATCCTCAACCACCCTCATTCCTTTTCTTTCAGCAATCAGCACAATAATTCCCCCCTTGACTATAATGATTGCCATATTCAGTTACTTCTTCCCCTTCGGGAATTGTTTTTAAACATTTGTTACATTTCATTTCTTCCTTTTTTGTCGGGTCAAATTTTATCAATAATTTTGACAATTTTTTTAGCCATTAACTCATAAGGTCTCATTATCATTCAAACCGACACTATAATTGCTAGTGCCATCACTGCTACACAGATTATTATGCTAATTTCATTCATGTTGCACTTATAATTTTGTTAAGTAATTTCAAACCCCCTGTCTATCTTTTTCATTTAATAAATAGGCCCGGGTGAGGAAATTATCTAAAGTAGTTTCACCATTTAAGTTGTAACTACCAAATATTTTGTTTAAAAACTTGGTAAAAGAGTTGGGCTTGCTGGTATTTTTTTCTTTTTGCCAGTTTTGGATTTTAATTTCCAGCAAATTTAATAATCTCTCAATTTGTTCTTTATCGATTGTTTCTTTGGCCTCTTTTTCTTGGTAATCTGGATCACTAGTATCTTTGACCGGTATTAAAAAAAACTTCGATAATATGTATTTAGTAGAGTAAGTTTCTGATGCTCCCTTGGCCTTGGCTAAATCATTGCTTTGTCCACAAGCCCAGAACTTAAAAATTAAGCGACTATTTGGGCTATTGCTATCTATTATTTCCAACCTTTTTAAGTATTTTAAATAATGGATGCTACCCTCTTTTTCGTGAATTAAAGGTTGACTTTCTTCATCACTTAGTATAAAAAGTAATTGATTTTTTTCTAATTCCGGTTTTAATAATTCTAACAATTGTTTTTCATTAAAAAAAGAGTATCTTTGCCCTTTGTTTTCCTCGGTGCGGAATAAACTTCCTACTTGATCTTGAATGACTTGCAGTTTTCGATAAATGTTATTGTTGGTTGTTTCCATTATTAAAGGTTTGGCCTCTTGTTAAAAAAAGTTCCATCAAGTATTTTTACTGTTTAAATTCTCCACAAGATCCTCTCTCAAACTCAATGCTTATAAATTTGCCTGATCTAAATGCTTCTATCATACTGGAAAAATCCTCGTGTTCCGTTATCTTTTCAATTGGTTTTTTGCTTGGCGGAATACCTAATTTTCTTTCTAATATTTCGATAATTTCCTTTATATTCTGCCGGGAAATTCTCTTTTCTTTTATCCAATTTTGTAATTTATTTTGTAATTCCTCTAAAAGTTGTTCGTTGTCCATTATTAGTCATTTTTACTCTTTTTTTGGTATTTCTTCCCAATTAAACAGCCGATATAGTTTTTGTTTGTTTTTATTTTTAAGATAGCAAAAGAATACATAACGTTTATCTATTCATTCGTTATTTTTAATGGCTTTTCAGACTTTTTCAGTGACGATCACGTCCTCAAAAACGTATATTGTCTTTATATTTTCCTTATCATTTTCTATTCTCTCCTCCACATCCAGTTCGTAAAATACTTGTCCATAATGGTCACTGTCTTTGCGAGCGACTTCCTTTTCCCTGACTGAGTTTATTCCTCCTACTAGCCGGTAAACCACTTCACTCTTTTTTTCCTCTTGATTGTCCGGTAAATCATCCGGTATTTTTTTCCGGTCTTGATTATCTCGGTTTATTTGAATATTTTGGGTTTTGCCTAACTTTTTATTAGAAATTACCCAGTCAGTTTTATCTTTGGTTTTCTTCTTTTTTTTAGTATTAGTTCTTATCGTCATTTTTACTTCATATCACGCACGCTCGGCTGCGTGTTGTTGTCATTCTTATTGTGCTTCGCTAGTCTCAATCGTTTGTTCACTCCGGTACTTGTCCCTTAAAACATCAATAGTTTTTTCAATAGCATTTCTTTCTTCGGCTTTTTCTTGCTCCTTTCTTAATCAGCACAAATAGTTGAGAGTGAATAATTTATGCTCGTTGTTCATTTTTGCGAAACTCCATTTGCTTTCGTATTTATTATTTTCTTGGTTTAACTTTTGGTTAAGTAACTCTTTAGGAGTAAAATATAGTCTTCTCCATTCCCCTTCTTTACCTTTTTTTCACATTATTTGATATCATTCTTTGTTTTCGGTAATGGATAACTCCTTAATTAACCATCCCCTTAATTTTCCTTGGTCTGGAAATTCAGTTAAAGTGCTAGTTTTGGGATTAAATCAGGCATAAATTTCCTTATTGCCTAGTTTATAGTGAATTTTTATTCGGTTGTTTTCTGGGTTTTGGATTTTTTCTTTATTATTTTCCGTCATTTTCTTTAATGTTTTGTTCGCTCCGGTAAATATTCCTTATCATTTCTATTACTGCTTGGAATTGCTTATATTGATTGCTATCTCGGGAATAATGATCCCGTAAATAGCACAAATATTCTAAAATAAAAAATTTTTGTTCATCGCTTATTTTTCCGTAAAGTTTCTTTTTTTGTCGCCAAGTATTGATATCTGTTTCATTCTTAAATTTAGTGATATGTTCTTTGTCAAAATCGTTAAAAACTTCGCTGTTTTCTTTACCCTTTTTAGGATAATTAGGCAAAGTTGAGCAAATATCTTCTTCTGTTTCGACTACTTCCATTGCTTTTAAATAATCTGAATAAGAGATATAATAATGACTATTTTTATCTATGGCTCCCCATTTTTCTTTTCAACAGCCATTATCAATCGGACTTTCTAAGTTGGCAGGATTGTAATTTTCATGCATAAACCCAGCCAATTCTAGCCTTTTTACTTCTTTATTACAAAAAGAACAATTATTTTCTCTAAGCAGTCTTAATATTTTTAATTCTTCATTTCCTATCTCTTCCTCGGTAGGAGGTTGTTCTTTATCGATTTCAAATGTTTCATCAGCAAAATTATAACCGACTTCTATTCGGTGATTATGCTTTAAAGAACATTGGTAATCATAATAATTTGTCTTGCTTGTTGGTGGTTTCATTATATCTGTTTTAAGTTAGTTTAATACCTTATTATAACTACATTTTTAGCACACTAACTTCTGCTTCCATACAAATAGCAGTGTTTTTTAAGGTTGTTCACTATTTCTTTTGCAACTGAAACTAATCTAGTAGAACAATTGGTTTTTCTTGTTTCTTTTCTGCAATATAGCCTAGAAAACGATTAAATCCTTCCTGTCCCTCCAACTCTTTAATTTTATCCAAGCATTCTCAAATCTTTTCTTTGTATTTTAAGGCTTTCATGGACCTATTAACACAATCTTTACAGTAATAGAGGTAGGCAGTGTGAATTTCCTTTATTTTTCCTGTTTTAGTGTCTTTAAAATCTTGGTAGGTTTTTTCTCGACCAATATTAGTTGAGCCACATTTTTGACAAGGTTTTTGATTTTCTTTCTTGTTAACGGCCATATTTATAATTTTTCATAATGTCACTCGTTTAATGCATCAGGAAAGAAATAATATTCATCATATTTAGTTTTTTTTCAATTCTCTAATACTCACTTTCAATCAGGATATCCTGGCTTGTAATTGTGCTTTCTAGCAATTTCAGCACCTGCTTCCAAAATGCAGGTTAATTTTTTCCTATCGCAACAATCTTTATAAGTTAGTAATTTGTTTCTAATTCTGATTAATTTTCGGTGGTATTTATCTAAAAAGATTTCATTTTTGCCTTTAATCATATTTAAATAACAAGAGTTAATTGCTACTTGGTTGCTGAAATTTCTTTTTTCAAATTAGGAGAAAACTTTATTTTTGGCACTCTTTTGGCCGGAATTGTTATTTTTTCTTTGGTTTTTAGGTTTATGCCTTGTTTTTCCTTAGTCATTACTGTTTTCAAAGCAAAATGGCCCACTAATTTGACTTCTTCGCCTTTAATTAGAGCCTCGTTAATTTCCTCTAAAAAAGTATTGATTATGTCTTTTATATTCTGCTTATTAACAGCAGAGTTTTTGCTATTAACTCGTTCTATTAAAATTTCTTTCGATACTATATTATTCATACATTAATACTATTTTGATTGATTTATTCTAATTCGTATTCAGTTTCAAAAGCCTTTTGGCATGTTTTAAATATTCTTCTCCGTTTTCGCAAAGAGAACCCTTGGCATTTTTATAAGCAATAATTTTGTCTACCATACTTCTGCCTAATTTATCTGCTTCCTCTTCGCTAGTGATGTTCCTATCAAACTTTTCTTGAATTTCTTGCGTAATTTTCATTATTGCCCGACAAGCATCACAATGCCATTCATGCTTTCATTCTTTGCCTGCTTTTTCCGTAATAATTTTGGCAATACGGATTTTATCACTTTTTATGTCACTACTTTTGGCCCTCTCCTCCTTGACTAACCTAAAACAATCTACACAAACTCCTTGGTTGGGTTCCAATTTTGCATAATAGGCCGAGTAATCATAATCTTCGCCACTAGCCATTATTTTTTCCGTTTCGTCTTTTTCGCAAAAGATACACTTTCTAATCTCACCTTTTTCAAAATCTTCAAAAAACTTTTCCATTTTTTGTAGAAATTCAATCATTAATTGTTGACTATTTTCACTTACTGCCTCTTGGCTTTTATTGGTGTAAACTTTGTTTATTTTCTCGCGACTAATGAGATCCAACCGCATTTCTCTTATACAATTGTAGCAAAAATTATTCATTTTCTTATCTTCTTCGGCAACTTGTTTTCCGGCAGTAGTCTTAATGATCGGCAATTGCATAACTGCCGTATCTTTTTGGCAAGAATTACATTTATCTTGCTTGATTGATGAATTATAAGCAGAAAAAGTTTTTAATATTTTAGGATCGGTTATTTCTATCCAATTCTTATTTTCTGCGACTGCTTTTTCTAGTAGTCCTTTTTCTTTGTCATTACGGGGCAGTAAGATTATTCTTCTACTATCTGCAACCCTGTAAAAAGAATGAAAATGATCCATTTTCTCCTTTTCTTTTAAAAAATGAACTTTAATTAAGAAAGGGTTATTGAGACTTCTTTCTATCTTTTTAATTCTAATGCTTTTTATGTCGGTTTGCTGCATACTTTTATTCTATTCTGCTTAATGCCTTTTGGTAAAATTGTTCATTCTTTCTTTTTTTCTTTCATAGATTGCTATTTCTTTTTCCTTTCTCAATTTAGCCGAGCATTTCAAAGAGCAAGTTTTTTCATTTATTTTCGCTTCAAACTCTTTACCACAAATTTTACAACTCTTAATCTTGGATAGGATATCCTCTTTGTTTTCCTCTCATCATTTCTCAAACTTTTTCAAGTAGTATTTTTTTGTGTTAGTTTCCTTATCAGTTTTCTTCTTTCTTAATAAGGCACACATTTGAGAGCAAGTTATAGCATTCAATTTTCTTTTAGGAGGAATTGGTCTATCACAAATCTCACACATTTTAGGTGGAGGGGGGGTTTTTTTTCTCTCTCTGCTTTCTTTCATCTTTTGACTGCGATAGAAAGGGTTTTGCTGCACTTTCTTTCTCTCGTTAATACTGCTGAGATTATAAATATTTTTCAAAGAGCAAAGTCTGGAACAAGTTAATTTGCGAACTACCTTTTTAATGAATTTCTTTTGGCAAACAATACATATTGCCTTGCTAAACTTTTTCTTAGGTTTTTTGGCATCAATTCTTTCTTTGTAATATTTATCTCTTTCTCGTTGACATTTAGGAGAACAAATCTGCTTCAATCTATGTTTGGGAATGAAATCCTTCAAACAGACTTTGCAAGGCCTCTTTTCTAGAGTCATCTTTTTCATGCCTCTTCTTTTTGATTCTTTTTTCCCAAAAGATATTCTTGTTGAAATTGACTTCTTAAAACTCGTTTTTTTTTTTTTTTGCCACTACTCAATTCAATTTGGTTTTTTTAAATTAGATCTTTAATTCTTTTTCTCGACTTTTTATGTCTGCTCGTTCCTTTTCCTCTTTCTTTGCGTATTTATAACAGGCAGAGCAGTAATTGTTTCCTTTCGCTTCTTTTAAACTTTCTTTTGAAAAATATTCAAAACAGCCTTGGCATTGCCGGTCTCTTTCCTCTTGTTTTAACTTTTCTTTGGCCGCGTCCACTACATTATCAGGCTGTTTTTCTATTTCCTGGCCTCTCTTAATTAATTCCTCGACTGCTTCCCTGTTGTGTTTTAAAATGTCGTCATATTCGGTCTTTTTCATTATTACAGCCTTATATTCCCCGTTGTTTGGCACTATTAGTCTTAATCCCCCCTCTTCGAGCCTTTTTAATAATGCATCAGTCTGCTCTGGCAGTGTTAATTCTTTCTGCATGCTAAATAAGTCTATATTTTGGCCCTGATTGCTTATTTTAATCAGCCCTTCAATATTCGCTATTAATTGCTTATATTTATTGATTTCTTGCTGTTGTTCGTTTACTTTTGCTTCTAATTCAGATACCTTTTTATAATTCCTTGCCATTTATGCTATATATTGCATGTTTTTTTTCTTTAATAATCTAGTTTAGTCTCCTTGGTTTCGCAACCGTTTAATCAATCTAATATTTTTTGTTTTCCTTCTCAATAGTGAGCCAAAAACCACCATCATAATCGCTGCTGTTAACAAAGAACCAGTTATTCCTCACACCGCTCCACTACTTTTACCAGGATTATTTTTATTCTCCGACAAAATATCAGGTCCATTTTTCTCCATCTTATCCAACCGGGCTTGAAGTTTCCCAATTACTATATTCTTTTCATTTAGTTTGGTTCGTAATTCCTCAATACTTAAATCTTTGGTGTCCTCCTCTTTTTCTTGGGAGGGGATTGGTTCATTCAACTTTCTTTCTAATTCTTCCTTTTCCTCATTAGCCTTTTTTAAGTCCTCTTTCAATTGGTTCAATTCCTCACTATTGGGAGTATCGCACTTGTGATTTAGGATTTGTTGTTGTTTCTGCTTTAGTTCTTTATCCAAATTATCTTTATCATTGGTCAAATCGCTAACTTTCTTTTGCAATTCAACCATAGCATTATCACTACTTCCAGCTTTAACTACTTTGCTTTCTCAATTAGTTAAATCATTTCCTACTATTACTTTTAATTTATTCTGATACTCCCTGACAGAGTTCGCTTGGTTGTCAAGAGCAGATTTTAAGGCGGTGCTATTGTTATTTTGTTGTTCTAGTTCCTCCATCATAATTTTCATTAATTTATCTCAACTTTTTTTGGAGAGTTCTTTTCTCTTGGTTTTGGAAATTAAAGGAACGCTTCAATTTTTTACGGCTACTTCCTCTCTTAATTTAACTCCTAATTCGTGTAATTGTTCTAAGTCATCAGTATTGTTAATGGCGTTTTCTCAATTAGCAATTGAAAATTTCTCATCTTTAATTTTCCACCTTTTTTGTTTGCTTTTTATGTTATCTATTCAAAATTTCTTTATTTTATTGTAGTTCATATTGTTTTCTATTTCTTAAAATTGTCTATATTTTCGCTTTATTTAGAGGTAAAAATGGCAAAAAAAGCCATCTCTTCCCCATTTTATTTCACATTTTTTAATTTGTATTGTAAAATCTATATTTCTAATTCGTCTGCTTTCTTTCATCTTTTGACTGCGATAGAAAGGGTTTTGCTGCACTTTCTTTCTCTCGTTAATACTGCTGAGAT